GGTGGGTGGGGGGGGCTGGGCCGCTCACCGGATGCCCAGTGTGGTCTGGATGAGGGTGGTGATGCCCACACAGGTGAAGATGGTGCCAATGAGCTGGCTGACCATGTATTGGTCGCGGCCCACACACAGCGCCTCAGCCAAAAGGAAGGGCACAGCGATAGTGCCACTGAAGCACGTCAGGTAATGCTAGGGGTTGGAGAAGAGTTGATCAGGCAGGGCCTATGACGCTCACAGGTTAACAGGGCTCCTTAACAGTCCTCATGCCTGCCTCAGTGGGACTGGAGCCATGCCACCCTTGTAAATGTACCCACCTAAGACTGACACTCCCACAGAGGATTCCCAGAGGGCTATGGCTCACTTCTCTGGGGATTACTAAACTATCTCCAAGTTATTCCTAAATATTCCGTGGAGTGGGCCCTCTTTCCTGTCATGACACTTCACCTGGCAGATGACACTTGCTCCCAGGGGATTAATCTTTTCTCAGGTCCCATTGAGCCTCTTCCCCACCCCTACTTGGTGACAGTCACTGTTGCTGACCTTAGGTTTCTCTTCCTGTTACCCAAGATAACTTTGGTGTCCAGGGAGCGGGTGAGATCCCAGGGAGCGTGCAGAGTGGCGGTGGGGAAGCCCTGGGGGGAAGCCCACCTGGAAGCCCAGCAGGACGCACAGGTACCAGGGTGGCACATCCTCGATCTTGTACAGCATGTCGAACTGGGGCTCAGCCACTGGAGGTTCCCTCGTGGAGGTCCCTGCTGTGGGCAGGGCCACTGGAGGGTCCCTCATGGAGGTCCCTGCTGAGCCAAGGGACTCACGCTGGGGGCAGCAAAGAGCCGTAACTGGGGATGGAGCAGTGGACACTGGCAAAGTCGATTCTGCTCCAGAATCAATTAAGTGCCTGAGTGGCCTGTCAGCTCCTCAGAATGGAGTCTGAGCCTGGGGTCCTCACCCCCTTCACAGTTCATTAACCCAACTATCCCTTAGCCAGGCTACAACCTGGCTCCCACCTCACATTGCTTTGTCCAGGGGTTAGTCCACTGTGCTGGCCCCTGGACCCCTTGGGACCTGGGCTTTCTAGCCAAGGAAATGGGCCTCTAAGTCAGAAGGCCTGGGGGGACACCGGGAGAGGGAGCCACAAGGGCTGGAGACTTTGGACAGGCCCTCTTGGGCCCACTCTGGTCCCACCTCTGCCCTTTGGAAGTCCTTGGGGTGTCACTGTTGAGAAGGGGTAGGTTGGGCTCCTACTGGCCCCCAAGCTGGAGTCAGCCAGTTCCCAAGCTGAAGTATTTTTCACCGCCACTGCCACCCCTACCCCATCCCCCAATTGCCACATTCGGCCTGAGACAATCACTCTTGATCAAGTTCATCAGAACATTTGTCTCTGCCTTCTCAGGCAGAAGGCCTGTGCAGTCCCTTTAGCCCTCACCCCACCCTGCCCCCACCCAGCTCCCACCCATCTCCCAGCACCTGTGTCCAGCCTGCTTCGGGTTCCTCCTGTGCCCTCATCGTTGGGGCACAGGTGTGAGCAGTTCCTGAGGAGAAGAGCGGATGGTTATACAAAGCCCAAGGAGGACTTTACTCCACACATCAGACATTATTAGAAGTAAATCTATAACCAGATCTCCAGCTCCAATCTCGATTGCGAAAGCAGGACCCTGGGCGGAAGTAATGTATTAACTCCAGCCATAGTGGAGTGGTAAATGCCGCCCACGTCTCTGTCACGTTCACCTCCTGCCTGCACCTGAGCCTGGGCACAGGGCCTGTTCTTGTTTTCTAAGAGAGGGCCAGAGTAGGGGGTGAAGCATAGTCTTGGAAGTTTGCCAAGCCCTGGGTGAGGTGAGAGGAGTAGAAATCAGCAATTACTATGTCACCCTCTGAATGAAGCTGTTCTCCACTTATTAATAACAAGTTAATCATTATCATTATCATAACCACTCTCATTTGGGAGGGATGACTGCATGCCAGGCAATATCTATGTATTGTCATGTCTAACCCTTGGAGCTGTACGGTATCAACCTCTTTTGCAGTTGAGGAAACAGATTAGGAGATAAGATCTGACCAAGGCCACATAGGTAGCAAGATTTTAGAAAACTATTCCTAAAATTCAGGTTGGCCTAAATTCCTGCATTCATGCTGTAAATCATACATTAACTGAGATAAGGCACTGCCCTCCCCACCATCTCTGTTCACCCCTCAAGCTCCCTGAGGCACACAATAGATGAGCTGTGGGAGAAGAAGCTGCCAAGGCTGGCCTGGCCTTGCCTATCCCCTGTGTCAGGACAGGGATCCCTTTCCCCTCCCAGCTAGAACAGGCTACCTAATCTGTGGGACCCAGTGCAAAATGAAAACGTAGGGCCCCTGCTCCCAAATTATGAATTTTAAAACAGCAACAGCAGATCATTAAACCGAGTGCGGTGCCTTTCTAAGCACTGGGCCCTGTGTGACCATATGGCTGTCACACAGCCGCTAAAGCCAGTCCCTGAGCCCAGTCTGTTTCTCCCTCCTGGCCCATCCAGCCCAGCCTGGCCATGGGGCCTGGAGCTGGTTGAGAGGGCCTCAGGAGGGTCCAAGGGGCTGAGGCTCCTCAGCTGGTGGGGGCAGGGCTGGAGGTCCCTGGTTCTACTCCCCTTGTGCTGCCCCAGCCCCAGCCCCCTAGAGACCACCTACTTCTGGGTTGCTGTGCCCATGGCCAGGCCCTGCCCTGAGGGCCCACAGGCAGCACCGCTCTCCAGGTGGGCAGCAACTTCATGCCACAGCCTGAATCCGTCAGCCTGTCCAGTCTCCAGCCTGTTCCTCTGTCAGCCTGTCCTCTCCTCTCCCTTTTTGGCTTCTGCTCCAAGTTTCTCAAAGTTGTCTGACCAGTTTGAAGTTTCAGAGCTGCTCCTCAGCACTTTCATCCCCAATCTCTCCTCCCCAGCACTCCCCAGGGGGCTGTGGGGATAGAGCCTCGCCCCCTCCACTCTCCTGGACACTCAATTCAACCCAAACCACACACCAGACACAGAGACAAAGCTGCAAAGTTGCACATGGTCTCAGATATAGTCACATAAAGGACTCACGACACCCAGATTCAGATGCAGAGAGTCTCTCTAAATCATTCCACATAAACACAGGGTCATGTCAAGGGCTCCTAGCTCCACACCCAGCTACATACCAGATACTACTGACGGCTCAGCAACTCAAAGGTTCCTTGGCCCTGGCTCTTCTCCTGGTGTCTAGGAGTTCTCTCCTGGGGCGAAGGCCAGGAAGGAGGGGCCTCAGGCAATATAGGGGGCTGGGCTGCAGTGAGCTCAGGGAAGCTGGAGTAGTCGGGGCATGTCTGGGGTATCCTTATTCTTCCGGCAATGACCTTTCCCCACCCCCATAATCCGAATCCCCTCCCAGCCCTACTACCACTCAGCTTGGGACTTGTCCTGAGCCTCTTGTTGTCTAAGCCTCGGTTTCTGCATGTTATCAGAGGATTAGAGTCTGTTCTGTCCACCTCCCAGTGCTTCTGGGGATCAAAGAGACACTCACAAAGGAAATTGCAAGTTGTAACACCACCTGGCCCCCGGTTCCCAGACCCAGGTGGGCCCCAAGAGGGGTCCTTTTTTCCCCCGTTGTTGAGGGATGAGCCCTAGGATAGAAGAATTTCTGGGGAGAGCAGGACTTAGAGCCAAGATGCTAAATCCAAACTGTTCCAGGAACCCTGCCCCACCCTGTCCCAGGCCGGCACCTAGGGCTCAACCATGCCAGCTGGTGTCAGAGGCAATCTAGAAGATGAGCAGCCACTGGGCGTAGTCCCAGTGAAACTAGAGTTCCGGGAGGGGCACTGATAGCACAGAGAGGTTGTAATAGGCTTGTCCACGAGGTAGCCTGCTTATGTAATTTTCCGTGGTTTTTCTTTCTCGTGAAGGATCTGGGGTCTCGTTGTTCACATAACTGGATCTACATGCCTTTGACTGTTTGCTGACATTTCCAACGATGACAGATCTCATTCACCTCTGGGAAATTGTGGGGACTGTATTTGGACCTCTTTAGAGGCAACAACAGCAGAAACACCAATTTCTGTCCTTCCAGCCTGCCCCAAGCACATTTTGTAGAGAAAAGGAATCGAGGTCACTGGGTTTTATTTGAGTCCAGAGAGAAAGGCCTTGCCTACCCCCACCCTAAAGCTGAAGGAGGTAGGGAGAGTGACAGTACAGAAGAGCAAGGCCTCCTTGCCCTCAGGCAGCTTGCAGAAAAAAGTGGGGCAGATCTAGAAGGAGCCGCGCCCCCTTCAGGAGCAGACCACCCGAAGGGGAAGGAGGAGTTGGATTAGAGCTCTGCCCTTGTGACTGGCGCCTCCTCTGAGCAAGCCCCTCGGGGGCCTCCACACAGCAATGCCTTCAGAGCTTCTTGGCCTTGTTGGTGGGCTTCATAGATCTGGTCTTCTCCAAACTCCCCCAAGTAGTGCAAACATGTCCTGGAGAGCCTAGGGGAGCCCAGCAGGAGCCTCAGATTCAGCCAGCCCACAGGGGGCAAACTAAGTCTCCAGGGGGCTCCACACCTTCCTGTCATACCTGGTGGGCCAGAGGCCCCCTGTGAGCATCACACTGATGGTTGGCTCTGGCCCATTGCTAAGTCCTGGGCCTGTGAGATGTTTCACCTGGTTCACTTCTCGGACTCCATAGCTGGAGGCAATGGGGAGGAGAGTGACAGCATTAGTGAGAGCCCGGCCAGTGGGGGACCCATCTCCACATGAAGCTGAGCACACTGGCATTTGCTGAGTTCAGTACCCAGATTCTGATCCTCCCTAATGGAAAACGGAGGACCACAGGGAGGAAGCTGCTGGCCCATGGTCACACAATGATCTTGTCCCCTGGTCACCTACCCTTCTGCTCCCAACTCCAAAGCTCAGACTTGGACCCAGCCAGCCCCTGACCTGGGACCAGAGCCCTGGTGCAGGTGTGTGTGGTGTGAGTGGGAGACTGGGGACCTCTATACACCAGCCCTGCCTCTGGAAGGAGGGAGGTAGGGACCAGATTTTCAACTCACTCCTGCCAGGTCTGGGAGCAGCTCTGGTCCAGGACGTCTGTGTATACTGACTCACTTAGCTCCTGATGCCCTCCAGAGTCTGGGGTGTGAAGCTTGGCCTCTGCCTTTGCAAGATGTTGCCACATCTGAAACAGAGGGGCTGAGAGCCAGGGTTTCCAGACTGCTCAGTGTAGGGGAGGGGAGAACAGGAGCATGGGTCTCTGGGGGAGAATGAGGTGGCAAGAAAGCCTTTTGAGCAGGAAGCACCTGTGATGTGAGGCAGGCTTCATTGCCCTCCCCCAGGTCCTGAAAGCAGGGACTGGGCCAGCTGAGGCAGGATCTACTTTCCAGGAATGGAGAGGGTGGGCGGGAAATGCTGAAGGGGAAGGTTAGCCCTGGGCATGGGGGCCCCTCCCCCAGGGCACACCTGCTCATCAGTGCATGCTATTTTAAACCATGAGAACAAGGAAAGAAAAAAATTAGCAGCCCCGTCTTCAATAACACGTGTACTCATAGGCTCCCTCGGTCCCCCACAGAGGTACTCAGGCACACTTGACAGGTTCGTGTGTGAACTCGGACACACATATACTCATACATTCATGCACTCAGCATACAAACACACATACACCAATGCTCCTCAGTCATGTTTTAGGAAGGAGTCTGGATCTGAGAATGAGCATGAAAAGGAAGGAGTCTGAGACAACAAGCTGGTGACTCCTTAGGTTCTCAAGATACTATGGGGTGTCCCAGATTGTCTGGTCTCTGTTGGGCAAACAGATGGGTAAAGCGAGGCAGGGAGGTTCAGGTGAAGTGAAGATGGCAATATCATGGGAGGCCGAGTCTAGCTGGATGGCCGGGGATGGGAGTTGGGAGATCAAAGGCTAGTGGTAGAATCTGAGGTAGACGGAGGGGTTTGGCTTGAGGAGGGGCCTGGGCAGGGGAACTGCTGGGGGAGGGACTCACCTGGTAGGCTACTGCCCTGCAGGCATCACAGCGGAGGTGAGCAGGCATGTGAGCTGAGTACTTCTCTTCATCATCCAGCTGTGGGGCAGTGGCTGTGAGCTGAGCCCTGTCCCCGAGGCCCCCTGGGATAGCCCAGTTCCCCAGAAGCAGCAGCAGTGGCAGTGACAGCCTCATGGTTCATGGAACTGGCTCAATGAGCACGGGCTGTGGGTGGGATGCAGATGTACATGTGTCTGTGTGCAGTGGGGGCCGCCCCGGAACACCTCACCCAGACCAATGGGGAACCAACACCTCACCCCTCCCATTCTCTCCCTTTCCCAGGGAGATGCCACGTATGCACCTCCTTTAGTGTGACCCTGGCTCCCAGCCCAATGGGGAACCAACACCTCACCCCTCCCATTCTCTCCCTTCCCCAGGAGATGCCACGTATGCACCTCCTTTAGTGTGACCCTGGCTCCAGCCACCTCAGCTCTATTTCACAGATAGTGAACAACGAGGCAAGGAGAGGGGCTGGGCCTGGACAAGGACACAGAGAAGCTGATACCTCCCACATCTTGGGATCAGGCCACGTGGCAGGCACTGTGCTGAGTACCTTGGGGGAGGAGGTCGTTGGTTACTGTCATTTTTATTCTGCCCCTGAGGACACAAAGGCTCAGAAAGAAGTGACAAATCCAAGGCCACACAGCTAGAGGGGACATACCGAAATTAAAACTCACACCTTATTGACCCCAAAGCCCATTGGCCACTCACCCACTGGTAGGAATGAGGCCACAGGTATGGTTTCCAGCCTAGGGCTCTCTCCTTGGGAGGCCAATTCACTAAGGCAGGGATGACAGTGTATGAAAGACACATGTGATTTCCATCCCTGAGCCCTAGGATTCCCTCCACCCAGGCTGTACCTGGACATGAAAGGGCATCATGGGAGTGGGAGTGTTAAGGGGCCATGGCAGAAAATCAGACACCTTACACCAGTTGTTTCAGCCATCATGGCTTATTGGGTCAGCAATTTATTGTGCACCAGGATGAGGTGAGGGGCCCAGGACGGGCCTAAGGCCCACCATGTTATCAGAACCAGCATCTCTGGCCATGAGAAGATGTCCAGGTTTTTCTGAGTCACAGTCCTCCCAGTCAGCTTTCAGTCCAAGGCAGGGGGGCAGAGACTCCAAGGGATCTGGGCCCCCCAGGGATCTCAAATTTAAGGAAGGCATTGATCTCCATCCCTAACACTGCTTCTAATGGGCACTCTTCTTCCCCAAACTCATCATATCACATACCTGTCCAGCCACTTCAAGTTCAGAGCTACACAGAAACCTACACGCAGAGCACCTCCCACCCCATGCATTTCCCTGTGCCCTCGGAGACTCCTGGAATCTGGGGCAACTGGAACACAGGTTCTGGGTCCTGTCCCTCCCTATGCTTTGACTAGCCTGCAGAGCCAGCACCTCTCTCAGCATGGTTACCACATCTGTTACTGGGAGAGTGAAACCAGCTGAGGGCTTCGAGTCTCTCTGACCTGCCCTACACAGGGGTATCCCTTCAACTGCCAACCCTAACCCTAACCCACCCTCTACTCCACCTGGAGGGGTCACGACACTCCTCTGGAACAACAGCTCAAATGATTCTCTCTGCTCACATGTCCTTCCTCATGACTCACTTCATCTGCCCTCTACCCTGGGAGTGGCTGAAGCCCTCACTCCTGGTCCCGGGATGAGCCAGCTCAGCTCTGAGGGCTTAGAGAAGCCAAGTCAGAGGCTGGGGTTGAGGAGTGAATGAAGGGTGGGGCTCCCAGTTGCAGACTACAGCCACTTCCCTACCTTCCCCCAGTACACCCACAAATCCCTGGCTGACCCTCCATTATTACTTCCCCACTCCATCTCCACTTGCTGTCCCCATGGCTCTTTTTCTCAGACCTAGCCTGCCCTGGTTGCACTAGCCACTTTCTACCACAGCCGCCAAGGCCAAGATCCTTTTTCAAAGAATAACAGATTTGATAGCCAGAGGCTGGTGCCTGCTCCACCTCAAGTGTGCCCACCTTCATGGAGGGACAGCTTACTACCTCTGGGGGACAGCCCTGTCCCCTGCTGCTCAATTCCTGCTTTTTTTTTCTCCTAGCGAACCCCAACACTCCCTCAGGTCAGCTCCCAGGGACATGACCCTGAGACATCTCACTTTTACACACACACAAACACACCACACTCTGGGAATGCTTGGGAAACGGGTATATACTTTTGCTGGGGAAGGAAGTAGGCAGCTACTTCCTGTGCTCCAGCTCCATCAGCCCAGGAGTCTCTGATACAGTGTCTGAAGGTAAGTTCCTCTCTGAAGACTGGCTAAAATGGATAAAAGTAAAAGGTGACAGAAGGGAAGAAGGGCAGGGGACTGGATGCCAGAAACTTCAAGGCCATTAACAGCCCCAATACCACGTGGGGATCAGGACCTAGGCCCTCACACGGAAAATAAGGAGCCTTTGTTGGCCTGGGTGGGACCCGAGCTGGTGGGAGGAGCACAGAGGAGAAGAGGGGGTGCGGAGCTAGGGGTCCCACTCAGAGACAGGTAGTACATCCCATCCAGGGACCCCGACTCAGAGGCCCAGGGTAGCTGGGTGCCACTTAAGGGCGGCGGGCCCGGGGATGAAGGCAGTGAGAGGCCAGAGACAGGCCCATAGGCGGGCGAGTAGATGCCGGGGCCCAGGGCCAGCGGGGTGTAGAAGCGTCGGAGTGGCCCTGGGGGCGAGGGCGGCAGCAGCACCTCCACGTATTGTCCGCTCTCGGGGTCGAAGAGCAGCCGTAGCCGAGGCTGCCGCAGCGCCTCCACAAAGTAGTAGCGGCCGCTCTCAGGGTCCACCAGGACCTTCCCCGCGTGCGCGGCCCCAGGCGGCCTGCGTGACCCCTGGGAGGGGCCTTCTGGGGACCGGTCCATCGGAGGCGCCGAGGCAGCGCGGGGCTGGGACGGCGCTGTTCTGCTCTCCAACGCCTGGGGCTCTCGCAGGAGAGACGACTGGACCGCAGTCGCAGGCCCGGGGACCAAAGGGGGTGTCTCCAATTTGGGTGCTATCCCAGGGCTCGAGCTAGGGTGCACCTGAGGGGAACCGGGGCGGAGTGGTCGGGATGGTTGGGTCCCTGTTGCCTCTATGGGTGTCGGGTGGGGTAAGATGCGAGCGCCACCTAGAGGGCTGATCTGACTCTCGCCGTCGGGGACAAGACGCGGGGCCTCCGCAACCCGATTCTCTCCTCCAGGACCACGCATCAGGACTCCCCGGGTTCCCTCTGGCTGGCGTCCCAAGGCCAGGGCACCAGGCAAGCGGATCTCAGTGCGCGCAAAGGGTTTCGCCGTGCTGTTTTCGGCCTTCCGCCGCAGGACCCCGTTGGGCTGTGAAACGTCCCGGGAGACTGTGTTGGGGGACGGCTCTGGGGGCTCGTAGGGGTGCGACACGACCGGCAGAAAGTCCTTGAGATAAATAGAAGTGTAGTGAGCTGGGGCTGGAGTCCCCAGTGCCTGGAGCTCTTGCGTCACCGATGCGCCACCCTCCTCTTGGCGGGGGTTTGCAGGAGGCGCAGGCAGTCCCGAGCTTGGAGTTGCCGCGGGGAAGCTTGGCGCGTATGTGGTCTTCACCATCTTGCGTACGTCGCGGGGGCGCGGAATAGCCACGCGCAGGCGTCCCGAAGTCACACCTCCAGGGCCCAAGGCTTCCGGGAGCTCATCGACATCCACTGTGCCCGCGAGGCGACTGATGGGCAGCTCGGGTGCAACCACCTCTGGAGACGGCTGACTGCCTCGGAACATAAGATCTGGCATCTCGCGTGTGGACGAACTCTGCACCTCTATTAGCTCTGGATCGCCGGGTGCGGATGGCGTAGGCAGCGCCCGCTTCTCCTGGACTACGTCATTCAGACCTTCCCGCGTAGAGGTTATCGATGAGCCCGGCACTGTGGGATCCCACGTCTCTTGGGGCAATGGGCTCCACGTCCCAACAGGACGATTTCGAGCCTCCCTTGAGGACAATGCCAGCGGGGACGAGCTCCTACTCCCCTGTACTTTATCCCCGACTGCCGGATGCGGAACCTCCCACGGGGAAGACGCTTCAGGGGATGGGCTTCTTGCCCTGGCAACACCCAGGTTCCACTGGGAAAGTGTCGGAGGGGAAGGGCTTCTTCTGCTGACAGTTTCCTCGACGGTGGGCTCCTGATTTTCCCATGAAGGGGATGCCTCGGGGGACAACGGACTACTCACCCTCCGAATATCCCGATTCCACGGGGACAGGTTCTGGGGAAACGGGCAGTGAAAACCCTGCACGGGCCCATTTGGAGCCTGCCACAGCGGGGACGGTGTCCTTGGCCTTACTGCCTTACTCAGAACTTCCCAGGGGTCCCTGGACTCGAAAGGCGGACTCTGTGGCCTCAGGATGGTTTGATCTGGAGTCTCTCCCGGGAACCTAGTTTTGAGTTCCTGGTTGTGCATCTCCTGGGTCTTCTCCCCTGACTGCAGGAAGATGCTGGAACTAACCGGACCCAGCGGCTCAGTTCCGGGCGCGGGTTTGTCGCGCCGAATCGCGCGTTCGCGGAGGCTGGGCCACGGTCGTGGGGCTCTGGCGGGCGCTGAATTATAGTGCATGCGGGGTGGCCGAGACCTGGCATCTTCCTGGACCGTTCGGGTACTGCGGGCCGTTTTCCGAGTCTCAGGCTCTGGCCGCTCGGTGGGCCCGAAGGGGGCGCTGCTTGCGGTAGGGACTGCAGGGCTCAGTTTTCTGGCCAGCGCTGTCTGCACGAGGCCCGAGGCAGCCTGCAGGCGGCCCAGAGACTCGTCTAGGGAGCCGGTCCGCAGGAGCAGTCGGGGGCGCGGCGCGCCGGCCTCCCGCGGTGGACTCCGGTGTCGGGGGCGCAGTTGAATCTGACGCTTGGGCACAGTCCGAGCCCTGGTGGGCGCAGCACGCTCCTCCAGTGCCACCTCCACACACTCGAACTGCGCTGGGGTGGCAGGACTCGGACCACGAGGCCGCAGCTCCAAGTAGGTGGCCCAGCGGGAGCCACCATCGGTGGCCTGGGGCTGCGGTGGGGCGGGGACGGGAGACGCGGGCCGGGGCGGCGAGAGGCTGCGGAAAGCCGGGGCAGTGAGCTGTTGCACCTTGCTATCCGCCGAGTCAGAGGGGCTGAACAGGGGCCCGGCGCCGAAAATGACTTCCATCTCCCCCGACGGCAGTATGCGCAGCTGGGGCTGGGGTGGCCGTGGGCCGGAGCCCGGGCCTCGCGGGAAACCCGAGCCGGGACCGAGCTGCTGGCGGCTATTCTGGGCTCTGACGGACAGGCGAGGCTGCGCGCCCGCCCCCAGCACAGGGGCCACCCGGGGCCAATTCGCCCAGCCCTCGTCCGGCCTAACGTCCGGGGGCTCTGGAGAACCCGGAGCCGTGTGGTAGGAACCTGACGAACCGGAGGAGTCCTGGCGCTGCGCGGGGGCAGCGGGCAGCTGACCTGGGAGCCCGGACAGGGCTGGCGGGGCGAGCGCGGTCAGCATGGTGGGGCCGGACGCTGCGCACAACCTCCCTCTCATTCGCCTGGGCTGATGCAGCAGGCGCCCGCACTGTCCCCGCCCCGCTCAAGGATGCCATGGGGTCACCGCGCCTTAAAGCGGCCGCGTCTGCTCCAAGCCAGCGGTGTCGCCAGCAAGAGAGATGTGAGTCCTGGCCCTTACCCTCCCAAGCCCCTTCTCTGGCTTGGGCTGGAGCGAGACTGAGGCTGACAAGGTGAGGGGAAGGCAGGTGTCCAACTTGGAGCCAGGACCTAGGCCCACCCAACTCCACTAGGCCCACCCAACTGAGGAAACTAAGGCTGAGTAGGGACCTGCCTGAGGTCAAGCACTATGGAGTGAGGATCAGACTGTGAGCTGGAGGACCAGATCTTCAGGCTAGGT